TCGTCAATTTCAAAAAATGTTTAGTTTTTATTTTACTAACTTTTTACTATACTGGGTGCTCTATATTTTTTGTTTATATCAAATTAAACAACTATAACATTTTAATTTAATTTTATGTTCATTTCTTATTATTATTCCTTTGGTAGTAATATATTTCTTTACAGCAAATACATATTTATTACCTGAGCAGGTCAGGAGAATCGCAACTATTTTTTTCCGTTTAACATGTAGTCAGGCAAAACGCTACCAAAGCGTACCAAATTTTTACGTCAGGCGAAACGGGAATATACCTTTGACTTACTTCGGCTATTAATAAGATATTGTGGAAAATACTATAAAAGTAATTCACATCTGAAAATCGGGAAATGTGATTTTTTTCCTGTGGCAAATTAGGTCTAAAAAATATGTTTATTATTTTTTCTGTTAAAGTTTGTGCAGAAAACTAGGAAATGGAGAAGAAGCAAATATAATTTGGCTCATTTACTCAGTTTCGAAAAAAAATCGATATTTTGTTTTTGTTGTAAAATTTTCAGTAAGACTTTCAATAGTTTTTCTGATACTCATGGTTTTCCTGATTGGCAACATGTGTCCTTAGCCATAAAAAGACATGAAACATCAATTGTACATAATGTTCACATGAATACATGGTTGAATTTAAAAAAAAATATTAAAATTATCCATAACCGTAAACGATCATCACTTACGGGTTTTAGAAACTGAAAAAAAATATTGGCTGACGTTCTGGAAAGAATTATTGCAGTTGTCAAATTTTTATCCAGACAATGTCTAGCGTTCCAAGGTTCTTCTAAAATACTTTTTGAATTTGTTAATGGAAACTTCCTCAAAGCTGTCGAGATGATTTCCTCTTTTGATCCTGTGATGAGAAAGCACATTAGTCGAGTGCAAAACTCACAAACAAATTCTTTAAAAATGGCCCATTAGATACAAAACGAAATTATTGAATTAATGTGTTCTAAAGTAAAAAATTATATTTTGAATATGGTTAAAAAATATTATTCAATAATTTTAGACTGTACACCGGATACAAGTCATACAGAGCAAATAAGCCTCGTTTTGCGTTATGTCGTTCTAAATGACATTTCTAAAAACGCTCAAATACAAGAGAGTTTCATAGCGTTCAACCCAATATCCGTTTCGACAGGGGAAGGGCTATTTGATTTTGTCCTTGGACTTTTGAAAACTTTGAATTTAGATATTAAAGACATGAGAGGTCAAGGGTATGATAATGGGGCGAATATGCGCGGAAAACATACTGGTTTATAAAAACGCATACTCGATGCTAATTCCAGGGCATTTTTGTGCCATGTGCTGCACAAGCTTAAATTTAGCAGTAAATGATGCTGCTAAAGTTTCAAATGAAACAGTTAACTTTTTCAATATTGTACAAGAACTTTATGTTATGTATTTTTCTCTTCATCCACAAAAAGGTGGGATATTATAAAAAAACATGTCCCGAAGTTAAATCTAAAACCCCTAAGTGATACTAGATGATCAAGTAGGATTGATGCTATAAGGCCGCTAAAGTTTCATTTAATTCAAATTTGTGATAGCCTTCTAGAAATAGCAGAAAATTATACTTTTAACATCATAGAAGCTAGACATAAATCAAGTTCTATGCTATTAAGTATCCAATCTTTTAAATTTATTTGCAGTGTAATAATTTGGTATGATGCTTTATTCCAGATTGGCATTGTAAGCAAAATGATGCAAAGTGTAACGACTGATATTAAAGTGTGCCAAAACTATTTAAAGAATCTAGTTGATAATGGTAGTTGATAATGAACGTTGCATTTACGTTGTATAGTAATGTTATTACGTTCCCTTAAAATAACATCGCCTGAAGGCTTGGCAACGTTATGTGCTAGCTGGGTAAATATTACATTGAATATTAAACATCACAGTAGGATGTTAATTTTCTCGAGTCGTTTGTATCCTCTTATTGAAAGAAATTTAAGAACAATAAATTTTCAGTCAAGGTGGACTAGTTTAACACGTCAACGCGTGGCTCAGCAACCAATAAAATTCGAAGGCGTTCAACTCCTAGACACTCCAATTGTATGTCACAGTTAACGTATATTAATAGTCCAATCATTATAGTAAGTTCACCTCGGAATTCGAGATACCCAGCTGTAAGTCTGTAAATACTTGTATATTGACACCCTAAAAGTTGTCTCAAAACCTACATATGGTAGGGTGTACGCATCTATTAAATTTCAAGGTCAAAGTTCACAAAAATCGTTTTTTTGCGCTTTTTTTGTAAATATCTCATTTCCTATGGGTTTTTTGCTATTTGTATTTATTATCAATATTATAGAATACAAAATTCTCTAAAAATTTTGTTTAAAAAAATTTTTCATACGGTGAACCGTTTTCGAGATAGATGACGGAGAGCGCGCGGTCACAGCATCACTTCAGGTCAACCGGTGCCTCCGGTCGAAAACGCGCCATATATAGTTGATGAAATATCGATAAATCAATGATTATAAATATTTGTCAATTTTTATTAACTATTATATTATATTTTATCATTTTTTTTCCTAACCTATCCACTTTTTATTTAGTATTAATTTATTTAACAACACTTACCTGCCCATGTAATTGCAAAATTGTTAATGAAAATATAGGAATTATATTTGAATTTTAACCTAATTAATATTAATAAATTCTTACATGATGAAAAAAAAAACAAATAAATTATGAATTAATCTTTTTATTAAAAAATTTCATTCAATACATTTATTTTTATTAAAAGTAAAAAAATGGAATAAAAGGTACAAAAACTACAATTTATAATTTTAATAATCTTCTTCCTCTTCATCGTCGTCTTCCGGCTGCTGGTAAATTTCAAACTGGTCTTCATTATCGTCTTCAACGACATTTCTCTCAAGTTCTTCCATGATTTCGGGGTCAAAGGTTCCATCTTCGTTAATGTCGCTCTGATATGGAAGAGCATTGAGACAAGCTTGCCCATTACATTGGCCACAAGCTAAAGAGCATTGCAAGCCCGCTTTCCTGCATCCGCTTCGCGAACCACAACCACTCTTGCAGTTGCAGAAAATTGTATTTAGCAAATCTTCTGGAGCAGGTGGTAAAATTGTCATGATAGGCTCCAGAAAATCGTTTCGCATTGCCCAACTCCATACCTGGGGTTCCAAATCATGCCTTAACCAAGTTTGAACTTAATAATATACACGTTTGAAAGGTTGATGAGCAGCTGCTTTTGTTGGTGGAATATTTGAAAGCTGCACAGGTTAATTAAGTTTTGTAGACTTGACGTAATGCATATAACGAAGATGATCGAGACTTTTCACAGATTTCGGAGCATTATAGACTGCCAATAAGATTTGAGTTCCACTCTCTAATAATCTCTGGGCCGAACAATTTTCTTTCTCAAATGCTGCAGCTAATTCATTCAAATTTGTCAGTTTCTCAAAAACTTTAAAAAATGATTTTTTCCCTTTTTAAAAATCGCAGAAGTTGTGTCACAGCCACTTAATGCGTGCAGAAATAAAATATGTGTTTTGGAATGAGGATAATTATCAAAACTTTTAGTCAAGTATATCCCCGTTTTTACATTTCCTTTCCCAACTTTTTTAAAGAAAATGTCTTGTTCGTAAGACAGTGTGCGCCCAATTAAAATGACAAGTAAATCAATATCTTGTCCTATTATAACTGCAGTTTTTTCAGAATTTGATTCTTCAATTGCAGTTTCAACAATAAGAACATCAGCATTGTCTCTGGCTTGTTTAGTAGTAATATTTGCAGCTTGTAATTTTTCAATTAACATATTAATGAGCATATCTTTGTTATTTCGATTTGATAAGAATTTTTCTTGAGTAACTGGTACAACTATTGTTTCATCTTCTCTGCTGCTCCATAGCTTTTACGTTCTTACTATAATCTGAATTTTTTTAAACAAAATTTGTAGAGAATTTTGTATTCTACAATATTGATAATAAATACAAATAGCAAAAAACCCATAAAAAATGAGATATTTACAAAAAAGCGCAAAAAACCGATTTTTGTGACATTTGACCTTGAAATTTAATAGTTGCGTACACCCTGCCATATGTAGGTTTTGAGATAACTTTTAGCGTGTCAATATACAAGTATTTACAGACTTACAGCTGGGTATCTCCAGTTCCGAGATTCTTACCTAATTTAAGCTTAAATGACTGGACTATAAATAAAACTGCATAATTAGGCCATTGAGGACTAGTAGAAAATAACGCATGGTAAATTAAGCTAGTAAGAAACAAGTGATAAAAATGTTGTATGTTCATAGCAAACAAAAGCAACGAAGATATTTCGCGACCAACTTTAGTAACACATTCTTCAGAAATCTGAATCCATTGGGTTAAAAATAGATGAACCAATTATCTTTTTGGTTGCAGAATTGATAGGTATAAGGTATAAGGTGGGGGAGGGTTGCTTCACAACACGTAAGCCTCATAAGGCCCATTGTGCATCCTCCAGAGGCATATAACTCTCCAGAGGCCTCTCAACTTTTTAAATTTTACTGATTGTCGCTAAAAAGAGTCTACGAGACAGTCATCTTCCCAGCTCATCAAAGTCCTGCAGATTATCAACTCATCAAAAATCTGCTGGTTGTCGCTAGGGGGTGTCTAGGAATAGCCGGCCTCTCAGGTCAAAGTCTTTAATGTCGCACTATTTTTATGAGAATTTCGGATGTGTACGAACTTCGAACAGAAATATTAAAATCTAAAAATTTGAAAAGATCATAAAAACCGATCAGAAAAAAATTTGGTTAAGCCACGTCTAGATGCTGATTCATTTAATTACCTATCGCTCTCTATCTGACAGTTTATTTTCTCTAGCTCGTAGAAGTATGCCTAAGAAAAAAATTAACAATATGTAAATTATAAACGTTATCAGTTATTTTTTTTAAATATCCTAATTAATATTTTCACAATTTAATATCTATATTCTCTGAGAAGTTAGTAATGTACCTTGCAAAACGAATATCTCTGATGGCTAGTCGGATAAGTGAGAAAATAAGAATGGTTCTTTGAGGTTGAGATAATTTATTAAAAGAGAAAGGCTTGCCGACTGTTTCAGACCGAGTTTACTTACCTCACGAATCAGTTGTGGTCAATCTACTTACCATACAAGCCGCGTTAAAAAAATGTTTATGAAATGTGTTTCTGTGTTAGTGTTCTTGTTTTTTGTAAATATTTGGATCACCGATGCGGCCACAGGTAATGAGTTACTTGATTTGTAAAAAAACCAGAATAATATAATGGCAGAGGTAATAGGTTCACTTTCTGTGTTTGTATTGCTATAATTTGATTTAAAACTGGAACATAATATATAGGTTACCTACCTAACAACTTTTGTTTTATATTGTTGAATATTGAATCAACATTGCCATACAGTAGGTATAATAAACATGATAAAATACTAGTTGTGCAATTAGAGCAGATACGGACAATTCACTCAAATTATCCAGTATATTTTTTCTACGACCCACTAACGAGAAAATCTAAAAATTTCAAAACTAATTAAAAAAAAATATTCCGACGAATTGAGATCCTTCTACTTTTTTGAAGACGGTTAAAAATAATTTTTTACTTTTACTAATTTATATAATAAAATAAACTGAAAAAAAAAATTAATTAGTCTCCAATCCTAGAATTGAGACCGGGACCTCTGCATGAGAGCCAATTTGCAATTTGAGACCGTCGATCGACCGCGTTCAAATCCTGGCTGTGTCAGAATTTTTTTTTTTAATTTTATTTTTTGTTTAGAAATTATGAAAATTGAATAAATACGATTATTGTTGATTATTTTTTTAAATACATTTTAATTATTATAATAATCTGGTTTCACATTTTTTGATGAAATTATTTTGTGGTCGTAGGAAAAATATTGTACATCACTTGTGTGAAAAGTGATTTTCCACACTCGTAATGTAATATACTATTTTCGTCTAGTTTCTTAAGATTATTTACACAGTGATCCAGGATTCGATGCAAAGTTTGGTGCAAATTTGTGAATGAATTAATGCTCAAATATATATATATATATATATATATATATATATATATATATATATATATATATATATTTATTTAACCGCTTATACAGACCCAAAATGCTACATTCTACCTGCGTTACCAGTCCAAAAGTGACGTTGTCAGACCCACAAAATGGTCTCTTAACGTTTTCCTTGTTAATCGACTTCTCTTGACCCCCTTAACATTTTAAAATTGGAGGGAAAATTTTTTTTTTGGACCTATAAAACGGTTTTATGAGACATTTTATACAAACTTAGTTCTCCAGTCTGTTCTGTAGAGGGAGCATGAATCGCAGCTGTATATTGTATATCATGTGAACATGTTCTGCTGACTATTTCAGACCCAAATAATGGCAACGTTGTAAACTTAACATTTTATTTCTGTTCAAGATATTGTTTAATTTTCGTAGATGCGTTGTGTATATAATTTAGCCCGATATGGCCCCAATACGTTTTTAGACCCTATTTAAAACTGTATACAAATCAAATGAAACTTTTATTTGAAGGATTTTAAATATAACTAATGGTCATTTTATATAAAATAATATTTGAAATAAATTAGTTTTTATTACTTTGAAAGGAAAGTTATCTGAATCTTATTTAAGAGTATAGTATAGTATAGTACCTTATTCTCGAAAAAAGAAACAGAAAAGCTTAAAATTGGATTATTTGAAGGTTTTAATTTACACTGATGGGTCATATACATTTAGTCAGAAAAATCTTACCAAATTTCAACACTGGCCAAAAATGTATACAGTGTGGCTCATATTACGGACGTAAAATTAAATAATATTTAAAAAATCCTGTAACCAGACAAATAGAAATTTAGAGCTGAAATTTAGCAGAGCTTTTCATTCTTTCATTATTTCATTTTCATTTAAAATACAGATAAGCAAATCATTTAAAATCGTATTAAAAATAGAGTGTTTTTAAAATCCATGCTCCCACACCTCACTTATGAAAGGGTGAAAAGCTCTGCCAAATTTCAGCTCTTAATTTCTATTCGTCTAGTTATAAGGAAGGTTTTAAAATATTATTTAATTTTACGCCCGTAATATGAACCACACTGTATACATTTTCGGTCAATGTTGAAATTTGGTAAGTATTCTTTGACTAGATGTATATGCCCAATTAGTGTAAATTAAAACGTTAAAATAATCCAGTTTTCTATGTTTTTCGAGAATATGGTAATCTTGATATTTATAAACTACTACTCCACTGAAAAAAGTAGTATTTGCGTAATAATATTAAAAAATATGTGTTAATTATTTTAATAATGAGATTTAATACTAAAAAAGTGATTTTGCCAGAAAATATATAAAGTGTAATATAAAAAAGTAAGATTTTAGTCGTTCAATTCTTATATATCTATTACGATTTAAGAGGAGTAGTGTCCTATAAATTAAGAAATATTAGCAGTATATTATTAAATACTAAGATATTAATAGGAACTTTGATAATAAAGAGCTAAACTTTAAATTTTTTTTATAAAAATTTAATAGGTTGACAAAGGAAAGGAGATTACGTATGACTGATAAGGATGGAATAAAAATTACCCTGTTTCAAGCAATTTTTATATTTTCTTTGGTTCAGGAGATATTGCCCATTGTAAGTTTTTAAATTGACCCTCTATATATATTTATATTAAAATAGATCTAGGAAAATAATATTTTCATTGTTTGTTAATAATCAAAAAATGTTTGAGTAAACTAACTATAGCCTAATTAAACTATTATACCGTATTCCATGTGTGTTCGCTCGAAACAGTTTTTGAGATTTTACAATAACTGTTTCATTTATTATGCACTACTTGGATTCTACTACCTATTCACAGGGTGTTCTATTTATTCGTAACACTATACATAAGATACCCGTCAAATTTGGGTGTTTTTATTTTTTTTTTGCTAACTACTCTGTAATACCAGTTAAAGATTTAATAAAAATAGTTATTTGTTTAACTAGACAGAGAAGTAACAGATTTACTGCCGCGGTGAAGCCGAAGCAATGAAACTAGCCAAGGCAGTAGATCTGTTTCTCTGCCATGTGAAACATAATTTTTTCTTCGATTATTTATACTGTGTTTAAAAAAATAAAAATCCGTTTTAAGTATAACGGATATAATTCACTTATTTTTAGTATTATTTTTTCTAATCGTATTTTATGATTTTTGATTAAATACACATATAGGAGCTTATAAGGCTAAAAATTAAAAAAATAAAAAAAAATAAAAAAATGGGTAAATAAAAAATTTAAAAAAATAAAATAAAAAAAATTGAAAAAAATTAAAAAAATTAAAAAAAAATGTAAAAAATGTTAAAAAATGGTCAAAAACCTACCTCTTCCACCCCACAAGCATAGCTTCAAAAATAGAATTTTAATGCCTGGGCAGTAAAAATGATTTTTAATGCCTAGGCATTAAAAGTGTTATTTAAATGATCGAGAAATGTCACTAAAATTGAGATTTAAGGGCGATCGGAGAAAAAAACCTATTTTTACTTTTATATTTTATGTTTTAAATACTATTTGGTAGGTAAAATCAATTGATTGATAGATTTAACACAAGACTAAAATGTCTTTGTTTCGCTAGCCCTCTCCCGCTTAAAAATATTAAAAAATTACCTGAGAAGTAGAAGTTGTTATATCTCTGGCATACATCGAATTATTTTCTTCAGTATTTTTATTGACTAATAAGAAATTGGCATCATCACTACTCTCTTTTAAAGAAGAATTTGATGAATCTGTTGGTGGCAAATAATCAGTATCTGAGTTACTGTAGTTAGACATTTGCGAATTGGTTTCTTTAGAATCAATGTTAAATTTCTTAACGGTATTTGACTCATAGTTTACTGGCTTAGATAAAACAATGTCTTCCAAAATCACGATTTTGTTTTTATTCTCTTTATATGAATCTCTATTAAGTTCGTATTTAGCTGAAATGTTCTTTTCGAAAAATTGTTCATTTTCGGGAAAAAACTCGTACACTATATCTGGTTTTGAATTTGTGCAACTCACATTTCCAAAGTCATGAATTTCTTCATCTTCAAATTCATAAGGATCAATATTTTCCAAGTTTGTTTTAGTAGCAGCTTTAGAAACATTTTGCAGATAGTGGCAAACTTTTTCTGTTGGCCTATCTTCGGGCAAACATTGAAGAATCTGTAGATGTAGGTACAAAAATAGCTATAATCTAGGAGGTATAAAAATCTCATTTTTAAACGGGACACTTTTCTTATTACTCACTCACTTTTTTCTTTATTATAAATAAAAAAACTCCAACCGTAACTCCAACTCCACATCCAACTCCACCTCCAACTCCAACTCAAACACAGACCCAAACACACGCACGCACGCACACACATTTTTCTGAAAATTTTAAGTTGTTTCATTTTCAGTTTTTTTATATCTCAAGCGCCTTTTACCCCAATTTCTGATTATTTTTTTTTAAACAATAGGCTTCGTCTTCTTATAAAGCTTATTTTTCCTGAAAATTTTCGTTCTTGACTATCGTAAAAAAAATTAATTTGGATCAATAATAAAAATTTTGATTTCTCTAAAGTAAACCTAAATACTCTTCACTACTATGTAAAGAGTATAATTACCTAGGTGCTTTGCTGCCTTCTTTATCATTTAAATATTATAAAAATAAACATGAAAAATCCTTTGCCCAAAACGATTTTATGCGGAACTTTAGATTTACACAGACTTGTATATAAAATAAATAATAATAAAACTAATGACTTAAAAATTTACAAGAAATACGGAAAAAATCAAAACATTTTCATAATTTCTCTGAGAGAAATTATGAAAATGTTTTGATTTTTTCCGTATTTCTTGTAAATTTTTAAGTCATTAGTTTTATTATTATTTATTTTATATACAAGTCTGTGTAAATCTAAAGTTCCGCATAAAATCGTTTTGGGCAAAGGATTTTTCATGTTTATTTTTATAATATTTAAATGATAAAGAAGGCAGCAAAGCACCTAGGTAATTATACTCTTTACATAGTAGTGAAGAGTATTTAGGTTTACTTTAGAGAAATCAAAATTTTTATTATTGATCCAAATTAATTTTTTTTTACGATAGTCAAGAACGAAAATTTTCAGGAAAAATAAGCTTTATAAGAAGACGAAGCCTATTATTAAAAAAAAAAAAAAAATTAATTAAAAGGCGCTTGAGATATTA